ATGTTGGAGTGTGTGGTATAGAGCTGACACCGTTTTTGCCGGGGTCTGCTAACAAATAACGCAGGCTGCGTTGTTCAGGGAGGAAAATGAGCAAGTGGCTGCTAATTATAGTGCGTTAACATAGGAGCAATTAGCATCTCAGACTACCCTGAAACTCCGCCTGGATGAGCCACAGGAGCTGGGAAGGTGGACAGCACCTTCAGGGCAGCTTCATGGGTCTGTTGAGGGGTTTGTTGGTAGACCTGAGGGCACCTCAACCGCGGGTCTGCGGTGTCCCAGGTCTGCCCCGTACTCTGCCGTTCCCTTCCCGACCCGGAGGTGGGTCTCCTTGCTGGGGATGGGCAAGGAATGGGCCCCGCGGGGCTGGCTGGGCTGAGGAGGGTGAACCAACTGCCCGCAGGTCCCTTCGGTTCCTCTTTGGCTCCTCTCGCATCCTCTGTGGGAAGGTGACCTTGCAGGGAATGCGGTTGCTCATAATTAGCAGCTGAACTGCTTTTTAAGATGTACAAATGATGGATTTGCGTTTTAGCCAGAGTGCTTTTTCTGCAGCTCTCTATTTGATTTCTTGCCCGAAAAGGACTTTGTAAAATAAACTAGGGGTTTTTTTAATGGTATTAGGTTGGGTTTTTTTTTAAAGAAAATGCTATTCTAGAGTCTGTGCATTGCAACTCTTTACTGCCCACTGCCAGCTCGCAGTCATCCTGCTTAAACAGAAACAGGACCACAAACCGAGTTAGTTAAAGCTCCTGAGAGGGGGGCTCTTAACTGGGTATGGAATCTGGCTTATACGTTACGCTGAAGGAGCCTCTGAAGGGTTTTGCCCTCGTGTAACTGAGTCCATTGGTTCTGATACATTTGGGAAGACTCCTTTAACTGAGGGCGCTGATAGTCTCTGCGTCGGCCGGGCGATGTGGGGCTGTGTGGGGGCTCGCCTGGAGGAACAGCGTCTGCTTTTCATACAAACCAGCATTAATCCCATGGGGCTCTCCCCCCCCGCCGACAGTCGGTAGTGCTGTGTGACATGGAAAAGGGGAAGAAATGACTACGCTGTGTGCAAAGGGGCTACAAAATGGAGACAGAGGGAGAAAGCCCGCTGTGGCGAGGGCAGGGTTCTGCCTTTCCTCAGCTCCGGTTTCACAGCCCTGTTTTGCCTCAGACCCAAGTGCCAGGGGAGGGATAAGCATATCCCTGCTAACGTGCGTGATGGGAAAGCACCAGAGGATCCTACCGTGTCCTCCTGAGAGCCTCCGTTACCATAGGGGAGTGCAAATCTGACCTTGCAGGGGGTAAAGT